AGAAAAAACGTTGCTGTAGTGTTTTATTTAGCATTTTGTAAATCCCATTGAGTTCTGTTGGAATAGTCAATATCCCTCCGCCACCGGAAACGGAAATGGGGAAAAGACTACACTTAGTTGTAGTCTTTTCGCTTCACTCTGTGTACTCCGACGTCGAGGTGCTAACGTCTCTGTTAAACACTTTAAAAAACTCTGAAAATGGAATACGAAAGGTGGATTCTTGATGAGGACATATTGGACTTTGAGTTTGACGGTAGAGGATACTGTTTTGAACCGGAATATAGTGAGGAGGAGTATATAGAGACATTGTTGCCAACTAGTGGTCTGGAGTGTGCAACGCTTCAGATTCGAACGGGAAGCGGAAGTTTATATGCGGTTGTGATGTATCGGAAAAAATAGTTCTGGGATTTACAAAATGCTAAATAAAACACGGAACTTTTTTTGGAACGTCATTGAACAGCGCTGACGACCCGGTGAGTAGCATATTTTAAAAAAAGAACGTTTAAGGTTGTTTTAAGGACATTATCGGACATGCACTATGGAAGCCATTCTGAAGCAGCCAGGGGGGGATTCTGCATGAGCCAAAAAGCAGAGACAGGACCAATTGTCAAAATTTTGGTGTCGATCATTCGATTTCATCCTGGACACTACAGAAAATGGGCTAAAAGTGTTAAAACCCGGAATTCTCCTTTAAATGGTTAATTATACATTTTTTTAATATATTTAAATATGAACAATCTTTATATTAACACCAAAACACATTTTAAAAGAATCTGAACTATGTTTATAGACCTATAATAATAGCAGGATTAAAGTTTGACAAACAAACTTAAAACCTGAAAAATAGTCCGGAATCGAAATAAAAAATCATAGAGAAAAGTGACAATTTGTGTGTTTTCGATTTTACTTCATTTTAAAAACAGAAATCGTAGTTTTAAAGATTTAAATATCCATAGAGTTTAGGATTAAATACATCTCAAATAGTTTATTGGTAAAAATATGATTGTATGAGAAAATTAACGTTTAGAGTTGAAAAGAGGAACCTTTTTTAAAACTGCGAAAGGATTTTTAAAACATAACAAGTAACGTTATGAGGAGATTTAGAGGTTTTACAGTTTGGGAGGAGCAGGAAGAAGTTTTTCCCCCACACTAACTTTAAGCTGTAAAGCAGACCTCATAATGGAGTTTATTACAACAAGACCGCCGAGAATAAAAAGTTTTTTTTTTTCTTCTTCTTTCTCCAGCTTCCTTCCCAGTTGGCATTCCTCTCAGCTCAAACTGGATTCTTCTTTACTTCCTCGTCAAATGGCCTTTTCCTTAAAGAGTGGGCTCTTTGTTTCAGCTGCGATTCGCTGGCAGACATAAAAGCAGGCGTTCGACATTTGAAACTATTGTGCACGTTGGTCTGCTTTAGGCTGAGGGGGAGAAAAAAAAAAAAAAAACTTGCTGTCACTTTTCAGAGCTACCAGTGGTAGATGCGAAACCACTAGATGTACAGTTTGCTCATCATGGGACCGACGCAACTCTGTACTGCAGGGTGAACGACTCTGGTACTGCACACTGTTTGTTTTACACCCGCACCTATAAGTTCTCACTCAGTCCCACGACCTTTGACCCCTCATTCCACTGAAAATGCCTCAAACGATTTCAAAAACACCTCTGCAGCAATGAAAACACTTTTTTTTTGTCAGTGGACAGTGTTTCATAAATTTTCTGTCAAACCGTTAAAACTGGTTTTAAAATACCTCCGTAGAAACCTGTTGGTGAACTCTCACTAATCATATTCAGAGATGACTCATTTATTTCACCTGGCTGACATCATCGCTTTAAGGTGTGGCTCCCTGACGCTGTAAAACCAAATGAATCATAGATATCATGAATCAAACACAGCCTGAAAACGTAAACCTGCTCAGGATTTTAAAGAAAAGCAATGTCAGGGGGCATTTCATGAAATCCACTTAAGATGTCAGATAAAGAATTCAGGGAGCTTAAAATTCAAGGATCAGGCATGTCTATGACAGTCAGCACAGGTATCAGTGGCACCATTGCAAGTGAAGGATAAGAGTTAAGAGGCAGTTGCCTGAGCTTCCAACAGTTAGGCCTCGTCCAGACAAAGCTATGTTTGGGTGAAGAGCAAACTTTTAGGTCCCGCCAAACGAAGCAGTTGCAGAACCAACAACATGTAAACTTGCCTCCAGAATGCAGACATTTAAAGCCACACAAACTGGTGTGTTCAGTTCAATTCAGTTTATTTATATAGCGCCATTCACAACATTTCATCTCAAGGTACATTAGAGTCAGCTCAAAGTTTTCTATCTAAGGAAAACCAGATGATTGCATCGACTCATTGAGACAACAGCAATTCCTCTCACTGAGCATGCATGAAGCGACAGTAAAGAGGAAATGGCACACGTGAGCCAATACAGACCTGGTTATGGGTGCACTGAAAGAAAAAAAAACAATGGCTGACTTATTGTTAAAATTGAATTTCAGAGGCCCTTCCATTCATTGAATCCCTTTTAAACGCCACTGAATTACACCAAAACAAAAGGTTCTTTACTGACATCTGAGTTAAAGGTTAAGTGAAAAAAATGGAAAGAAAATTGCAGTTAATGACTGACTGTTAGATGCTAAATGAACTGCCTGATGATACATAGCAGTACAGTGGATGTCACCACTTCTACAGGTGCTGGTCATAAAATTAGAATATCATGAAAAAGTAGATTGATTTCAGTAATTCCATTTAAAAAGTGAAACTTGTATATTATATTCATACATTACATACAAACTCATATATTTCAGATGTTTATTTTGTTTAATTTTGAGGATTACAAATGACAACAAATGAAAACCTCAAATTCATCATATCAGAAAATTAGAATATTGTGAAAAGGTTCAAAATTGATGGCCCCTGGTGCCACACTCTAATCAGCTAATTAACTCAAACCACCTGCAAAAGCCTTTAAATGGTCTTTCAGTCTAGTTCTATAGGCTACACAATCATGGGGAAGACTGCTGACTTGACAGTTGTCCAAAAGACGACCATCGACACCTTGCACAAGGAGGGCAAGACACAAAAGGTCATCGCTAAAGAGGCTGGCTGTTCACAGAGCTCAGTGTCCAAGCACATTAATAGAGAGGCGAAGGGAAGGAAAAGATGTGGTCGAAAAAAGTGTACAAGCAAGAGAGATAACCGCACCCTGGAGAGGATTGTGAAACAAAACCCATTCAAAAATGTGGGGGAGATTCACAAAGAGTGGACTGCAGCTGGAGTGAGTGCTTCAAGAACCACCACACACAGACGTATGAAAGACATGGGTTTCTGCTGTCGCATTCCTTGTGTCAAGCCACTCTTGAACCACAGACAGCGTCAGAAGCGTCTTGCCTGGGCTAAAGAGAAACAGGACTGGACTGCTGGTGAGTGGTCCAAAGTCATGTTCTCTGATGAAAGTAAATTTTGCATTTCCTTTGGAAATCAAGGTCCCAGAGTCTGGAGGAAAAGAAGAGAGGCACTTCATCCACGTTGCTTGAAGTCCAGTGTAAAGTTTCCACAGTCAGTGATGGTTTGGGGTGCCATGTCATCTGCTGGTGTTGGTCCATTGTGTTTTCTGAGGTCCAGGGTCAACGCAGCCACATACCAGGAAGTTTTAGAGCACTTCATGCTTCCTGCAGCTGACCAACTTTTTGGAGATGCAGATTTCATTTTCCAACAGGACTTGGCACCTGCACACAGTGCCAAAGCTACCAGTACCTGGTTGAAGGACCATGGTATCCCTGTTCTTAATTGGCCAGCAAACTCTCCTGACCTTAACCCCATAGAAAATCTATGGGGTATTGTGAAGAAGAAGATGCAATACACCAGACCCAACAATTCAGAAGAGCTAAAAGCCACTATTAGAGCAACCTGGGCTATCATAACACCTGAGCAGTGCCACAGACTGATCGACTCCATGCCACGCCGCATTGCTGCAGTAATACAGGCCAAAGGAGGCCCAACTAAATACTGAGTGCTGTACATGCTCATACTTTTCATGTTCATACTTTTCAGTTGGCCAACATTTCTATAAATCCTTTGTTTTTATTGGTCTTCAGTAATATTCTAATTTTCTGATATGATGAATTTGAGATTTTCATTTGTTGTCATTTGTAATCATCAAAATTAAACAAAATAAACATCTGAAATATATGAGTTTGTATGTAATGTATGAATATAATATACAAGTTTCACTTTTTAAATGGAATTACTGAAATCAATCTACTTTTTCATGATATTCTAATTTTATGACCAGCACCTGTAGATGTGTCACTTCCTGGGAGCTAGAATCATTTAACAAAGCTTTGCCCTGCATTGACTCAACACTTCTCAAACCATTGTTCCTTTAGCAGAATTAAGGTGGCCTGGAGTATAGCTGCTCTTTTATGCATCCATCTGCATGAATGTTGCAAAAAAAAAATAAAAATAAAAAATCATCCAGGTAAACTAGAACATACCAGAAACACCAAGCGTTCATTCAACAAGTGGCTTCTGCAGACCCAGAAGCTCAGAGGTTCAGATTTCTATTAATAGCTCTTCGGGACTTTTAACCCCCCTTTTCTTTCTTTATTGGAGGAAACCAGAAAAAGAGGTACGGAAATACCAAAGATCCACTGGGACCAGGTCCAAACTCCCCCTCTGAGGTTCCCAATACATATTTCATGTTTCAGTGAAACACCTCCAGCAATCCCACTGAGCCCCACAGAGCGTCTGTCATGGATTTATTGCAGATATGATTACGTTTATTGCACCTTTATACCATCAGCAGGAACTGCTGGGTTTACAACAACCCCATAAAGCACAATTACACCACAATTTGCATGATGCATCACTGAGAAAACATGCAAATGTGTTTTAATAAAAACTATCTGCTGCAAAAGTTTCTGATCATCCAAGCTGCTCATCTGAAGATGCTTTAGAGGAGTGGGATTACTGCAAGAGTAGATGAGCTGCAGATTTCTCTTACCTCAGTGAAGAAGTTATCCATTGCTCCTTTATTTTAATCCCAGGGGATTTACTGTATGAAAACCGCGCGTCCAACTCATTCCAAGCTGAATGATTTTCAGATTGGAGCGTTTCAGCGCATCCTCTTCATTGCTGTCAGTGCGCTGCTGGATGGTCCTTCAGACAGTCCGTGTGGAGCTGCAGGAGCACATCTGCTCTTTGTTTCATGAGTTATTCATCGAGAAGGGAAACTTTCATTTCTTCTAGCCAGACTGCGTCCTGCACACCGCGCGCCTCGGCTGCGCCTGGATGTGGATCACTGCGATCTGCGCCTGTTTGGAGAGAGGTGTCAGGAGAAGGGAAGAACCGGACGGAGGGAAAGCCGGGGTAACTTTGGAGGCGCTTCTCCCAGAGAGTCCATCGCCCAACCCCCTGGACAATAATGGAAGAGCTCCTCCCTCTCCTCCTCCTCAGCCATCCTCCTCCTCTCCAGCCATCCTCCTCCTCACTGACTCCCCCTACTGTAAGGGTCAGATATTAAAATACACAGTTAAAGTTTTTTTCAGTCTTATTCAGACTAAACATTACATGTTTTAAACCAGGTTGCATCTAACTGTGTTATTTCTATCTGCTTGTTGTCTGCATGATGGGGGAAATAATAATATTTACCCCAAGGTTTATATATTTGCTTTAGTATTTTGTTCTAAAGCGCCTTTATTGAGCTTCTCAGAATAGTTTGGTAGAATTTTGACCCATTTCTTCAGCCAGGACTGATATAACTGTGTTGGGTTTAAAGGCAGCCTTTTTCACACTCATCTTTTGAGCTCATATTTATAATTCCACAAAACATTGACTTTGTTTTCTTCAAACCTTTTTACTGCTAACACTGGTCCTTTGCTGACAGTGATTGACCATTTCAAAGACCCATTATGTTCAAGCCTAACTTCCTTTTTGTTGTTTTAACATGTTACTTCAATAATTATGGTCTTTCTCTCTGATGTCACTTGTTTTCTGAGGTGCATCAGTCACTTTGGCAGTAAAACCTCCATAAAACATAATACTGCCACCACTTTACATTAGGCTTGCAACCTTTTCCACACTTCAGTTGTTTGGCCAGCCCACTGGACCTTTAGGTTCTGCTCCCTGGAGGGTAAAGTACCCGAAAAAATGTATTCTATTAAAAGTATCATTACTTCATCATATTTTTACCCAAATAAAATAAAAAGTTGCCATCCTTAAACTTACTCAAGTAAGAGTGAAAAAGTATAGTGTAACTTCACCAAGTTAAATAAAATATAAAGTTATATGCAATTTCTGGTGTTTAAAAGACTGAGATAAAAAATAAACATATAGCAAACAGTGATTACATAATAGCAAATGTAGGTGGAATGAACACTTGTCAAAATACATTGTCTGAGTTATAAAACTTACTATATTAATAGTTTATACTGCTTATTGGATTTTCAGACTCAACAAATGGAAAATAGAACTAAACCAATAAGCTTTGAGAGCGGGCAAGAAGAAAGTCTTTCTCCCCCTGCTGAATTAAAACAAGCTTGATTTTATGAAGCAAAGTTACTCACAATGCGTAGAGTAGCCAGAAATTTTACTGAAGTACTTTTTTCATATTTTTACTCAAACAAAAGTAGAAAGCACAATGCTATTAAATGACTCCTAAAAGTATTTTTCTTTACTCTTTTTTTCACTTTATGTGCGCTTTGGTGTAGTTCTGGTCATCTTTGTGAAAAGCTGTTGGATATATGGTGTTTTTGGTGGTTATGAGCATGATTATAAGGTCTGGTTCAGTGTTGCTTTGGCTGATGGCTCATCTTATTATACCTGAAGGGACGTTTTCACCCTCTCTCTTGATTTCCTGTAGCTTTACAGTCTGAGGCGTGCTCTATGTGTAGTTCAGCAGCGTCTCCCCAGATACAGTTAAAAAAAGATGGATAAAATGTCTGTTGCTTTTTTTCATGTCTTTTGGACTTTCTGTCTCAAACAATAAATGTAAGAACACACTTACTGTGCAAAATGAATCCATGGTCATAAAAACAAGAATTGTTTTAAATTTTAAATTTCTAGTATTTTTAATACCATTAAATGTAATTGTTTGCAAAATGGAGCAAAACTAGCATTTTTATTTTCCTCTTTTATGTCTCCCATTGTGCATTAAAACTAAGTCAACTGCAAATCAGATATTTGCAACTTTAGTTTATCTTCTTCCACTCTAAGGGTAACTTTAAGTGCACTAAGTTTATTATTAGTCATGACTTTAAATAACCCAAACATTAATTTTACAGATAGGAATCAGAGTAGGATAGGGCTTCCAGTCTCTGCAGTAACTTAACATTCCCAGCTTTTCATTGTCATTTGGCCAGTAAATAGTCATTGGTTATTACAGAGCACAGCTGACATGTTTTGTTAGGGCGTTTTGTTTCTGTGTTAATGTGTCTCTGATAATCTGTGAACTCCTCCTACCTTTTTCTCTCAGAGGTGGTCACTAAATGTAACAGCTTTGCACAGGTCACCTGTCACCATGGTAACACCTGACCTATAATTAGCAGTCACCGACAGAGTTTAGACAGCACTAGATGATCACAGCCTTGACCCCTTTCCTCATGAGGATTCAGGGTCAGGCTGTAGTTAGATGCAGCAGGGAGCTCCGCCCACCTTTTGTCAGTCCCTCATTAGGCTGATTGCTGCTCCACCTCCTCTCTCAACCCTTTGTGTGTAGGATTTTTGGTGCTTTGACATGTAGGTGGTGATTTAGAGTGACAGACAGATCCCTCTCTTGAGTGATGCTCCTCCACTTAGCTGCTGCATGTTTCATCCTGCACTGCTGCTTACTGATGAATTGTTTGGTATGTCTCACTGTTTAGGCCCATTTGTAGAACACTTATCTCATTAAGGTGCACTATTGGTAGGCACAAGATAAGTTGGATGTTTTATTAGGAAAAAAAAATAGTTCACAATAACAAGATTGAAGAATAGAATCAAAGACACTTGGATAAATGCTTAATGTTTGATTTTATTTAGAATAAAAGTCCCTGTTTGGGTTTAGATTTAATGCTGGTTTAGCCTAACGTATAAGGGAACTAAGCAACTTATTATGGGCAACTAGGGGCACTGGGGCCCAAAGTAAATGTTTAGTTTTGTTTGTTTTGCGTATGCAATGGTTCCTCTATGAATAAACTGTAACAAAAACACACAATTTCATGATATAGTTTTTTATTTTTTTGTGTCAATATACCTTTAATCAAGTAGAAATCGATACTCATTCTTTAATAGATTAATTAATAGGGTGAGATTGACACACTAGTGATATTTCATGAAACTCAGTCAGAAAAGTCAGACTTAGATGCCAAATTCTGACTCAACTTAGATACAGCATGTTAAGTCCCCATCATTGGGTTTCACTAAAATGACAAATGTTTGGTAAATGGCACTAATTCAGGACAGGTTCAACTAATCAGTATTGTCTCTCACATCAGCAGACCGCAGTGGACCATGGGAAAAGTGAATGTGTTCTGTATTTTATTGGTAAAAAGGTAAAAGAGCTCAGAAAATGTAAATGATTGTAGGAAAATTTTGTTAAATATTCCATTTAATCCAGCATGGAGAGCTTAATCGTAACTTTAGTCCCACACAGCCTTCAATAAAAAAAATCTTAGTCAGCAAGAATCTTGCTTGGCCTAAAATAAAGGCAGCATATTGTAATCCAAGAAGCTAAGACTTCTTCCACAGATTTAGCTATCCTAATTAAACCAGCAGTGAGAATACAGGTGAAAACAAAGTACAAAAAGCTCATCCAAAATGTTAACTCTGATAAATCACACTGTCTTTATTTCAAGAAAGCAACAAAAATATACATACACTTGGAATCTGGACTAGATTTTTACGTAAAAAAAATTGTATTCATATACTTATATTAATTGAATTGCAGCCGCAAAAACAAGCAAACAAAAAAAAGTAATGTAACAAAGACTAGGGAAGCGGCCCTAAACAGTTAAGGAATGATTGGAGTTGTTCTGTGGGAGACCTGAGGTCCAGTTCAAGTGTTTAAGGAAATGTATGTTTCTTCAGAAATTAGTAACGTTAATGCAGATATGTGTCAGGTGACAAGAAAGGGTTATTTTGATCTCATAAGAAGCGGGATGCACAGTCACTCCCTCAGTCCTTCCAAGGTTCTTTTCAGAAATATATTATATTTATATATTTCATTTATAAATTCAGCTAATGCCGATCTGTTTGCCAAAGTTAAAAAGAAAATTGTGACTATTATATATATCACATTGCATAAAATAAATTTTGTGTTGTGTAGCTTATAACTTGTTGGCATTTCTGATGGCACCATGCATTTGGGCCAAATGGCGATGTTGATAATCGCCTTTCTGTAACGGTCTGATCCCCCTGGTCCTGGATTCAACAAAGAAGACGCCTAGCTTGACCTTGGTTGGTTCCAATCTTGTCCCGACCAGGTTAAGTATACTGGGTCAATTACCATAGTAAGATGTTCTGTAGCATCAGAGGACCTCTTCTCCTCACTCAGCTAAAAATGAGACCCGAGTTCTACCTGAATCGCTGGGTAGCTTCGATGGTGATCTGCTCTCTTCCTGAGACCTTTGCATTTGCAGAGCAAAGCTTTTCCAAACTCACATTTATAAAGAATGACCTGAAACCTTCCATGACAAAGGAATGATCCAGTAGTATGATGAAAAAATTCAGCAACCAACTCCCTCACAATGATGTCATCATTGACTTTGCAAACAGAGGCGCTGTGAAGCACAGGTTTAAAGGAGTGATTAGAGTTAGAGAGGTTTATGTCTTTAATAGAGCTTTTACATATAGTTGCTTACATTAAGGAGCTAGATATTCAACTTTACATCTTATTTTATTTTCTACCTGGTATTTAGAAACATTTCATTTGCGTTATTTAAATAAGTAACTTAAAAATAACTTAATAACAAATCTGGTTTCTTTGCTGTTTTTGTACTAAAGGTTTGTTTGAACATTGCTATTATAGTTGAAACCACATTGAAACACAGCATTATACAGAAAATAAACTGCATTCTAGTTTAGTTCATTACTTTTAGCATAGAAAATAGGAGACTGTGCAGCAGCACTGACAAAACCACAGTGGTTTTATTTTAGATGTGTGAATGATCGGTTTATTAGAACATATTAGGACACTGTTTAGTAGAATATTTATTTATTCTCCCACTTTCCCCCATTTGTGCTGTTCTGTTTAGCAGGGCCGACCGAAGCTTTCATGGGGCTGTGAGATACAGTTGATAGTGGGAACCTCTAGATGTATGAAAACTGCTGTGCATAGATTTCCTTTAAAATTCAAATCTGTTTGATCTTAAATTCATTTTATGATCAACAAAAAGAAAGGTTAAAATCTTCTCTTCTTTGCTCCTTATCCCT